CGCACCTCTCTTTGTTAATTCTCAAAAAAAAAAAAAAAGGGCCCTGCAGTTTTGCCTGGCCAGTTTAACATTTTAAATATTATTTAAATGAGTGAAATAAGACTGCAAAATAGAAACAACTTGTAACATATTTTATTGTATATGTACACTAATGTAAAGCAAATGCCATTTTTTCCTCTGGGAGGTTTATATGCCAATCTGTTGCATATATTATGTGATTGGTAATTGAAAAGGATTAGAAGACAGGAATATGTGTGTGTATATTTATATTAAGTTATATAAATTACATTATATCTATAATACATGGATTCTAATTTGCATCAAGTATATGTATATGTATTTCCTGTTCTTGGGGGTTGGGTGGCCCAGTCTACAGCAGGGGGGCCCACTGTTCATGTGATGCGAGGCTCCCAGTCACCCAGAGGTTGAACAGCTGTTTTAGACGTAATAGGCATGTCCATACATGTTTTGTCTTTGTTTCAATGATATCCAACAAGTGGGTTGGGACTAAGATACCAGTTTTTTGTATTATGATTGAAACGTGTATTTTCCAAATGTCAGCACTGATGGTGAGTGAAGAAAGCCAGTACAGCCTAAACTGCACCTTCAACCTATACATCACAATACACCCAAATTGCATAGGAATGCAATTTCTGACATCCATTCCATGGAACTTGACTCGATTGCCTTTGTCTGAAAACTGTGTACTGAAATTGGAATAGTATTTAAAGAAGCTTTAAAGGATGTTGCTTTACAACCAAACAGGCAAAAAGTGGAGGCTAAAAGGAAGCAAATCTGTCAGATAATCTTTTACCTCATTTTATGTAGGCAGGTTAAGATTAAAATGTAGCCTTCCAAGTAAAGTAAGGATCTGTACATGCCTGTATGTGGTAACTGAGGTTAAATAAATTATAATGACAAACATTTTTTTGAATACCTTAGTAAACCTGTGCTATATTTAAGGACATACTTGCCACAAACTTCAGTTTTTTAGGTTGGAACTTTCACAATGTGTATTGTGGATTTACACTGATTTTTTTCAATACAGTTGAGTGCCCTTTTGAAAATCTCATAGGCCCTTTTGAAAACTCCAGTATTCAAGGCTTTTTCAACAACAGTGTTCTTCAGCCAGGCTGCTGAGGTGACTTTCTATATTGTCAGCAGCATAAACCAAGAGAAAATTAAACTCATTTCAGAACCACGTCTAAGTCAAAATATAATGTTTTTAGATTGGTCTATATATCTTATCCTGACTTTTTTTTGACAACATAAATGTTGGTGATATGGGATGCCCTTTTCAGTACAGAAGTGCAGCTGTATTGAATGCATAGTTTCAACAGACTGCAGACAGTGTTTACTGTTGCTAGCAAGGAGAAATGGGTTTTGATCTGAGGTGCATAACTGATATACTGTGCAGTTAAGGGTAGATCACTTTAACCTCTCTGGCCCTTAATGTTAACATTGTTCAAATTTAGTAAAACAGTGCAAGATTGTGGGCTTAAACAAAAGGAGAGCAGTAAATGTGAAGGATTTTCATTCAGTGCCATTTTTCTTAATGAAATTATATGAAAAGTGGATATGAACATGAGTTTGCTTTTGTATAAGTTGTTAAAAGATTTTTCCTTTTGTGGTCATTAAATAACTAAGAAGTAATGGTTGGACATTCAGGTGGACTGGCTTTAGTTTAATAATAGTCTCTTACAATTAGCTAGTAAAGCCTAATTGTCTACTTCTATCTATTGCACTTCTTTAGAACTTCATTATGTCTGCTGACATACAAATGTATTGTGACCTTTCTGCATTGTGGTCCTTGAACAAGAATACCAAATGTTATAGTTTCATAGTTTCTAGGGTCGGAAGGGACCTGAGTAGATCATTTAGTTCGACCCCCTGCCATGGCAGGAAAGAGTACTGGGGTCAAGCGACCCCAGCAAGGTGTTCATCCAGCCTCCTCTTAAAGA